CACTTTGCACATATAAAGTATGGTTTTTAATGTCTTTAAAGAGTAATGTCGCCGGTTATGGTTTGGCTCAGTGGATAGAGCGTCAGCCTGCGGACTGAAGGGTCCCAGGTTTGATTCCAGTCAAGGGCATGTACCTTGGTTGCAGGCACATCCCCAGTGGGGGGTGTGCAGGAGGCAGCTGATCGATGTTTCTCTCTCATCCAATGTTTCTAACTCTCTATCCCTCTCCCTTCCTCTCTGTAAAAAATCAATAATATATATATATTTTTAAAAAGAGTAATGTCAAGGCATAGTTGGACCGTGTTAATGGTCATGAAGTCTTTAAGAGAGGTCAACTCTATGGAAAAGAGGTTTTTACTCTTATTTTAAGAGGCCCTGTTTCTCATCAAAGAAAATATTAAAATGAACCCACATCAAATGTAATTTATACATAATTATTTAAAAGTTGAATTGTTTGTGACTAATTGACATGTCACATTTTGTAGATAGTTAAATTTACTAATTTCAGTTTTGGAACTAAAACATTTCTTGGAGCCAGTAGATTTTTCTCAGCTTTCAATTTTATTGACCCTTGAAAAGCTCATAGGTCCTAGGCACTGGGCCTCCGCACCACTGTTGGTCCAGGAGATTCTCTGGCAAGAAAAACTGAGATGAGATCAACCAAAGGTCTTGTATGCATGGATATAAGCATTACCAATGGACACAGACACTAGAGGGGTGAGGGCATGTGCTGGGGGTGGGAATGGCGGGGAGAGGTTCAATGGAAAAAAAAGGAGATATATGTAATACTTTAAACAAGCATGTGCTGGGGGTGGGAATGGCGGGGGAGAGGTCAATGTGGGGGTGGGGGAGGAAATGATATTTTAATAACTATGTATGGGCCAGGGGGTTACTTGAAATTTCAGGGGGACCACTTTGTAAAGTATATGATTTGTCTAACCACTATGTTGTATACCTGAAACTAATATAGAATAATATTGAAAAAAAAAGTAATAAAACCCTAATGTGTTTCAAAAAGAAAAAGAAAAGAAAAACAGATGGAACGTCAGTGTTGAAGGAATGTTGGGAAACACTGTTTCACTAGGGGGCGCTCGTTCCTCTCCATAAAGGAAATTATCTTCTGGGTTGGGGAGCAAACTGCTTTTGGAGCGGGAGAACAAAGGGGTCCGTGCACCCTTGAGATGTTAAAATAAAAAGCGGCTATTTCTCTGCGGCTGGAGATCAGGACGTACTTCCAAAAGTAAATAGGATTAGTCACTGTACCAATCCATGCAAATACATTTGTACATATTTATACAAAGAGATGCAAATTATAGTGGGTAAACCAGCTGCAAGTGTTTGTAGAGTAATCCACCTTGTTACTACCTTGATTGGTGTTACATGTGAAGGGCAATTTTGCTGCCCAGGGAAAAGCCGAAAGGCAAGACTTTGCGTAAATGGGATTAGGTTTCTTGAGGCCACGTTAGGAGAGAACATTTTTTTCATCTGGTGGCAGTTTTGCTAGATGTAGCCTTCTCTTTCTCTTAGGAGCCATGGACATTCATTTTGATTAATCTCTACACTGAGCTGTCAGTTTCCTGACAGGGATTTCAAACAAAAGATTATGGGGGTGGATTTGAGCATTGCTTGAAGGTCTTGTCTAGATCAAAATTTGATGAATTCTTGTCCTTTCAGTAATCATTTGAAATGAAAAGATCTCAGAATAACTCATCCTCCCCCTTTCAGTGGTCGTGGAGCATCAGCGTCAGCATCTGGGAAGGAGCCCGTGTAATGGCTTAATCGAGAAGGCGCAGGAGCAGCGTCAAAAATAACCTCCTTAGTCACTGTAGCCTTGGCTCTCCAACCGCAGTCCTTTAACAGCTTGAATGGCAGTGGCACCACACAGCCTCCCCAATAATGCCACCACCTTCCTTCTCAGGTGGCACTGTACACTGGATATAAAGAAGACTTACTGTATTTTAATTTTCCCAGGAACATGGCTCAATTTAATGTAAAATTAAAGACAAGAATGAAAACCTCACAAGTTCCTTTTTTCTTTTTTTGACTTAATCCCTATTATTTTCTTTCCAGGTGGAGATCTACCATCAGAGAGTTTCAACACGAAAGGATACGTTATTTTTAAAAGCATATTGTAAATAGGAAGTGTTAGTGATAAGCACAGTTTGGGCAACTGTTCTGTGGAAACAGAACCAAATCCGTCAGTCCTGATTCTGGGCAGGAGAGAGTGGCTCTGCTGTTTCCCAAACTGAACACCTCCGGGGAGGTCTGATCCCAGATGACGGCTCCCTGCCCCCTGCCACACTCAGCAGGTGAGGTTTTACAATATTTGCTTGGGGAAGTACATGTAAGGGCATCAGCTTCCGTTTTCCCACTGAACTGCACTTTGTGCGCACCTCGCTACGATGTGAATCTTCCTACGTGTCTGCACTTGCATGCTGTGTAATTAGAGTCAGGCCGGGAATGACTCTCCAACACCATCTTTCCTCCCCAAGAGTTAGCATTTAAAAACGGAATTCTGATAGACATTCTGTGGGAACTTGAAACACGTTTACATTTATTATGCAAAATCAAGTATCACTTCTACGAGTTCAGCTGTTCACCCATCTGCGAAGGGTCTGTCTCAATGTTTCTAACCTGGGAAATGTCAGAAGAAGACTATTAATTTCATTCACTACTTCAGTATCCAGGGCACCTCATTTTTGCAGTTGTGGAGTGAGAGCTGCCTTTCCCACTGTGTGGATGCAGGTAGGAGGCAGTGGAGTACCGTGGTTGGGAGACTGAGCATGAGAGTTAGACCTCAGTTTGAATACTTGTTTAATTGCACACCAGCATTGTGATTTTAGGCAAGTTATTTCATATCTGTAAGCCTTCGCTTTCTCCCCAGTGACATGGAGCTAATCATAGGTCTGCCCTAGAGCTGTGGCAGGGTCACATGAGATAACAGTAGAGCACTTAGTACAGTGCCTGGCACACAACAAGTGCCCAGTCAATGGTGGTGAGCTGCTGGGACTACTCTCTGCCGCCAGGTGGGAATGGCGACCAGCCCTCATTTCTAATAGTGGAAATCTTTTAGAACATTTCAGAGTTATCCTTAAACACAACACAGAACCATCCCTCAAGAGTCTCGGCCCTTCAGAAGGCAACTTTGCCAAATAGCCCCTGGGGGTGTGGGGAACGCCTCTGAGAGGCCTTGAGGGAGCAGCCTTGGGAGGAGGCCAAAGTGAGTCAGCACACCTACCCTGTTCCTGAGGGCCACTGAGTCACTCTTCCCTTGAACCAGGAGTCAGCCCCCTCCCCTCCCCTGTTCTCCTTTCTATTTCTCAGTCAAGCCGGTGCTAAGAGGAACCATGGCAATAACAAGACATAATTGTCATGATGACAAATCCACAAACGAGATACGCTGTACTTGCTCAGAAGGGCCCCTGCGTGGCAAATCTCCAAGTTGTGCTTCTTGTGAGCCAAAGGGAGTAACTGCTGGCAAAAATATCGTAGGAGTGACTAAGAAGAGACTCGGCACAGTTGGGGAAGACCCGGGCACTTCACTGCTAATGGAGAGTTGGATAGAGGGCTCCCTCTCCTTATAACATTTCCCAGCATGCCTCCGTGTGCACTGTTTTATTTCAAGATAACGTACACGTCATTTTCCCCCTCACATGGCCACTCATCCATGACGTGTGCAAGACACTCCTTAGATTCCACAGAGGTTCAGATAGGCCTGTCTTTAAGGAACTTACAACATAGTAGGTAAGAAGATAACACAACAGCAAGAATCAAGATAATGATGATATAGCACTGACTGATGACTTACTTAAGTCCCCGAAAATGTCTTTTTATCGAAACAATGCTATAAGTAGATGTCATTACCATCTCAGTGTCAAAGATGAGGAAACCAAGGTCTGTGGAAGTTAGGCAATTCACTCGAAGGTAAGTCCTGCATGAAAACACACAGTGACACCAAGTAGAATTCAATCAAATGTCTTGGCAGGTTATAGGTGGGAAAGATTACTTCCTGAGGAGAGGCATCAGGGCATACTTCACAGAGGAGGCAGCGATAGAGCAAAGTCTTAAACAGTGTGGGGGGTTGACGAAAGAATACATGCACCCCTATGTTCATAGCAGCATTATTTACAATGGCCAAGATTTGGAAGCTGCCCAAGTGTTCATTGGTGGATGAGTGGATAAAAAAGCTGTGGTACATTTACCAACAGAATACGACTCTTGCGTAAAAAGGAAGGAAATTTTACCCTTTGCGATAGCATGGATAGACCTGGAGAACATTATGCTAAGTGAAATAAGCCAGTCAGAGAAAGATGAGTACCATATGATTTCACTCAGATGTGGAATTTAATGAGCAAACAAAGCAAAATAGAGACAAGCTCATAGAGAGAGAGCAGGCTGCAGCTCTGGTGGTGGCGGCGGGTGTGGTGTGTGTGGAGGGATTGAGCAAAAAAGAAAAAAAAGAGAGAACTCATGGACATGGACACAGTGTGGTGATTGCAGGTGGGGAAGGGTGAAAGGGCACAGAGCGGGTAAATGGTGATGGAAAAAAGTTAAATTAAATTATCAAAAAGAATGTAGGGGATTGAATTATGGTCCCTCCAAAAGAGTCCTCTATTTACCCAGAACCTGTGAATGTGACCTGATTTAGAAAAGGGCCTGTGCAGATGGAATTACGTTAAGGCTCTTGAGATGAGATAATCCTGGAGTCAGGGTGGGCCCCAAATCCAATGACAGGTGAGCTTCTCAGAGAAAGGCAGAGGGAGGTTTGAGACCCAGACTCACAGCGAGACGAAGGCCATCTGAAGACATGGGCAGAGGTTGGCAGACCTAAGTCAAAGAATGACGAGGATTATTTGCAGACGGCAGAAGCTAGGAGAGAGGCGTGGAACAAATTCTCCCTCTGAACCAACACTGCTAATACCTTGATTTTGGACTTGTGGGTTCCAGGACTGTGAGGGAATAAACCTCTGTTGTTTTAAGCTGCCCAAGTTGTGTCATTTGTTATGGCAGCCTGGGGAAACACGCACAAAGGGCATGTGAGAATCCCTGGGAAGCAACAGCTCAAGCAAAGACAGTGAAATGAAAAACACCAAGGTCTGAGTGAGTCTATTTTGGTTGGGCTGAAACATAAGGACCCTGAAAGGGAACAGGCTGTTTAAGATGGGGGTCATATGATGGAGGGCTTTGAATGTCTGGCTTGGAAATTTAGGCTTTACTTGGTGAGCCACCAGGAACTTGATGAGAGTTGTATATATAGAAAATTAAGGTGTCCCTGAACGGGCAGGAGTTGATATGAGCCTGAATGAGGGCAAGGGCAGCGGGGATGAAGAGAAGGGACAGAGGGAAAGTTAACTCTTAGGAATCTGAGACGTGGCAAGCGATAGCTTCTCAATCTGACTTGCTAAATCGCTTGATTCACATGTTACCTGCTATTGTTTATGTGTCTTTGTCTTCTGGGCTGCATAACGCCCACACTTTGATTGAGCTACCTTAAGTCTTCTGGCTGCCCATCAAGTTGGATTATTAACTTGCTTGGGCTTCCTGGCAGCCAGGCTGTGTTCTATAAGGAGGACTTTCCTTTACTACTCTTTAAACAAACAAACAAAAAAATTTTATTGATTTTTTACAGAGAGGAAGGGAGAGGGATAGAGAGTTAGAAACATCAATCAGCTGCCTCCTGCACTCCCCCACTGGGGATGTGCCCCCAACCAAGGTACATGCCCTTGACTGGAATCAAACCTGGGACCCTTCAGTCCGCAGGCCGAGGCTCTATCCACTGAGCCAAACCGGTCAGGGCTCCTTTACTACTCTTAGTAGTATTGCTTTTGCTTTCTCTGCTCCAGTTCCTCCTGCGTGAGCTAAACCTTTGGAGGCTGTTTCCGTACCCCCAGTCACCTCTTCTTGGCTCCTGTCCTGCCAGCGCTGGGGGCAGGGGGCAGGGTTTCAGGGCAGCTGTGCTGGCCTCACTCCAGCGTCCTGTTATAGATCCTATCTTGTCATTCGATGCCAAAGTGTGATGGAGAGGCAGCATGTGACATCTGGAACAGACGCAAATCTTAGAGCCATGTCAGATGTGGCACATTACCAATGCCCCGGAGGCCTTTAATGCGGTCTGAGGCTTCAAGCCTCATTAGCATCACGATCCTTTGGTTGGTTTCTCAGAAATCACACCAACCCTCTGATTCTGGCTTCATAACCCAAGGCCAATGGGAACGAAGAGGAGGAACCAGTGGTCACCAGGGCTCAGGTGATGCCAGTTATCCTGCGAGGTGTTTGCCTGTGTCACCTCATTTCATCTTCACATCAGAACGGCAAGGCAGGTGCCGTTACCCTCATTTTACAGATGAGGACATTGAAGCTCAAAACAATTAGGTCATACGGTGAGGAGGGCTTCCAGGATTCAACCTTGGGATTTTCCCAGATCCCACACCACCTCCTACATAGGAGATTTTGAAAATTATTGATTCCAGAGAGAGGAAGGGAGAGGGATAGATAGAAACATCAATGATGAGAACCATTGATCAGCTGCCTCCTGCACCCCGATTACTGGAGATCGAGCCCACAACCCAGGCATGTGCCCTGACCAGGAATCAAACCGGTGACGTCCTGGTGTATAGGTTGATACTCAACCACAGAGCCACACTGGCTGGACACCAGAGATTTTTTTTCCAGTACTACCAAGGTGGGAGAATTCCATTTTTGGCATATGTGCAGGATATGCCGAGTGCAGCGATGGCGAACCTTTTGAGCTTGGCGTGTCAGCATTTTGAAAAACCCTAACTTAACTCTGGTGCCGTGTCACATATAGAAATTTTTTGATATTTGCAACCATAGTAAAACAAAGATGTATATTTTTGATATTTGTTTTATATATTTAAATGCCATTTAACACAGAAAAATCAACCAAAAAAATGAGTTCGTGTGTCACCTCTGACATGCGTGTCATAGGTTCTCCATCACTGGCCTAGTGCATGCTGGCTTTTTACTTTGTGTCGTGATTTTGTATGAACATGCCTTCTCTGGTCCCTGCTAGAGTCCAGGCACTGACCTAAAACTTCCTGGGCATCAGCTTCAAGAATGTTTGAGGACTTTTCAGACTGATGAACTCTGTGGAGAGCGGCTACAGTGTTTGGACAGGTTCAAGCCTCGGACTAATGAGAGGGCACAGTCCTCTCATGGCCACGTGCAAGTCTCAGCTTGGAGGGCAGAGCCCTCCCAGCACAATTATAGCCAACAGCTATAGTTGTAAGCTTGAACCTATGGTCCGAACACGTGGCCCCACATGCCTGAGTAATATGGGCTTGATAGAGGTCAGGTGTATGTACTTGAGTAGGATCAAAACCCATGAGAATGTTGTAAACACCTTGACCTCGCCCTTACTTTGCCTCGTAGAATCTTCTATAAAATAAAAGACACGGCTTGTAGTCCATGGCACTGTCTCTCCAGCAGCGTCCCACCGAGACCCAGCTCATTCTCTTGTCTGTCTTTTCTCAATCCTTCACCGCCTCCACTCAGGGTTCACCCTTGGCCTTGCTGGCGCGGCACAAACTCGTGCTGTTTCCTAAAAGAACAAAGTGTGTTTTAGCGTCAGGTTGCAAACTGCAGTTTTCTGGTGGCATCTCTAGGTTTGGTTGCATTGAAAGAGTGACTACAATGGGTCTTCTTATGTAGCCTTGATCACTACATTGGTTTGGGGAAAGGCAATGGCTTTGATACAGAATCCTGGGTGGTACTGTCTGCAAATATTAGGTCATCAGGGCTTCGTTCACATTCTCTAGTTTCTTCCCGCAGGCCAGTATCCCCAGGACCCCACGCCCACTTGCCCTACCAGCCTTTGTTCATGCTGCTTTAGCCCCACCTTCCTCCTGCTCAACCCCAGAATGTACGTCTCCCCTCTTTCTGCAGTTCCAATCCTAAACTTTGTTCATGGTTCAGCCCCAGCTCACTCCCATCATGAAGCCTCTCCTGACGGGCTTTCCTTTTCTGGGTTCCTGCAGCCCA